CGACTGGATAAATAATATAGTTGGAAAGACCTTTTTATTCCTTAAAGGGTGATGCTGTGGCCAAGGTTTATCTGGGGCGGCGAAACCTGCAGAACCGGTATCTTCATACAAACTCCAGCTCAGTCTGTAACACAAGGAACAAGACAGGCACATTAGGGCTTTTAAAGTGACCTCTAATAGGCAAATGAAGCAGCCCTGAGGAAGAAGCCGCCGTGGCTACGAGCAACTTGAATCAACAGGCAGAGTGCTGCATACCTTCTCGCAACCACTACATGCTGTATCTGTAATAAAATATTTGCAACCCCAGACATGGGCTCTGCCGCTCTCGCACATGCAAAGACTTGGAACTGGTTGCTGTCGCTGTCGAGTCTGGTATGTTGCTCTGCTGCTGCTTATGCGGATGAGCCCAACCTGAGCAAGAGTTTCTTGCCTCACTATGAACCTGATCATGGGGGTGATGTTGACGATTTGCAAGACACCAGGCTACATGTTTTCACAGTGGACTATAGCTATGTGCAAATTCCCTATGAAGTTACTCTTTGGATCCTCCTTGCCTCTCTTGCAAAAATAGGTAAGTAGAAAAGGAGATCTTGGGTCCTTCTATCTCAGTAAGAATTTAAAACTATATTATGTAACCAAGTATATTCCATGCATTTTTGTAGCTAGGATTGTTTTTACTTGAAAGAACAGGTGTGCTCAGTTGGTTAGAGCATGGTGCTGATAACACCAAGGTCGGGAGTTAGATTCCCGTTTGGTCCCCATGTGTTGCCTGATCCAGTTGAGAGACGTCCCTGACCATGACAGGGAGTTTGGTTAAATGATCTCTAAGGTCCCTTGCAGCCTAGGCCATTCTATGATTCTATGATTAACCTGACAATGACAAAATTCCACCTCTGAATGCTTCCAACTTAAGTAAATATATGACCTCTAACCCTCACGTCTCGGGTTGTTTATGCTAGTAAGTAGCAATGGAACTCCCCTACATAGTGATGTCTCCCCTTTTTCTAGTCTTTAAACGTCACAAGATACCAGGATTTATAACCTTCAATAGTTGTAGAAATCAGTAACACCAGACAGAGACTTCAAGTGTATTGAATTTGGGGGAGATAAGTGGGAAGCATTCTTCCATTGTGTGCATAATAGGAAACATTTTCCTATGAATCTTTGTTCTACATGCTTGCTGTTTAAAGTTGCTCAGAAAGTAATACCAGAGGAGAGGACTGAGAGTCTAAGAGGTTGCAGGTCACCAGAGTTGTAGAATAGGTAAATGCCTTTTGAACATGTACCAATACATCTAGCTTCTGTTACAGCTCTGTGCAGGTATCTGAATGAAGAAAGGCAACTCATGGATAAGGAGGGGCTACAATTAACATAGCAAAAATGGCTCATCATATGCATTACATGTTTGCATGGCTGGGCTGAAATTATTTTCATCATTCAGAATTAACACAGCAATATCAAATAAATGAAGATGACAATAGTATGTAGAGCTGCACACGTGGTCTCCCTATCCTTTTGATCTTCTCATGGGATTTTCAGATATTACTATAGAACAGGATGGAAGTGGCCCGAAGACAAATATTTTTCATGTCACACAATTGACAAAAATTGTTTACCACTGACCATGATTTACCAGTTTCGTGATGATCTCGATCCAATTCCTACAAACATCTTCACTGTTAAAATTGCAATAATAAACCAAAAATCACAAATCTAATTTGTTGTTATGGCATCAGCAATGAGCATATTGATCAATTTCTTTATTCATCATCCACAAAAACACACGATCTGCCATATGGTACATCTACTCAATATTCTTGTTTTGAGCAGGAAGTAGATACTTTAGAAGAGCTGTGTGGTGCCTCCCAAGCAGACTTGTTCCTTAGCTGGGAGTTTTCAAACCATTTTGATGAAAAGTATGGAGTTGTTGACTTCAAATCTACTTGGAAGAAACAGTTGCTCTGAATAATCTGGTTATCCAGGGAAGAAGTTTACCAAACTGCTAAAAATTTTCAGTGTCTTATTCAGGTATTATCTTCTTTCTAGATTTCAAGATTTCAGGCTGGGAAACATTTCCAAGATCTTGAAAGGCAAAGCAATCTCCTTGTCCTCTAAACCTGACAGAAGAGTGGAACATGATTTTTTTAAATTAAAAATTATGACTAAAGTTCTGATCTTAACGTAGCTTTTGGTACAAACAAATAGTTTTCCTAAATAAATTACTTAAAATTTCATAAAAATATTTTCCTCTACTTTCGAACATTTATAATTTGAGGGTCACAGAAATGCAGTTGTGGCATTAGCTTCTAGACTTAGTGGGTGAAGTCTGACCTAACCTCAGGCATGGAGACACAGCCATTGAACTTGTAGGTTTCTTAATCTGCCTCATTCTCTTTCCTATAAATTCTGAAAAATTCCTTGCATTTCTAGTAGACGCACCTCCATTCGCAATAACTAGATGAGCCATTGCTCGACAATATTTAGTATTGGTATCAGTATTCATGTCAAACGGGAAGAATTAGATGAATGCAATTGCAGTCGTAGTACGTTAAGGTGACCAGGAGAAGATTCACACTCCCAACATTTGCATGGTAAGTGTAGCCCTTTTCTGGTAAAATAGCTTGTCTATATACCTGTGCCCCCAGACAGAACATGGACCAAGGTCTATTCCCACAGGTAGTTTGGATATGACCTCTTCTTGCTGGGATCGGGAAGAGAATTTGCTGTATGGATGCAAGCTGAACCTTTCTGCTTGGAAGTCTTTGGCCTGCTTAATTTGCTAGCATAGACTCAGCCTTTGTTCTAGTGATGAAAAATTATCCCTCAGGATGCATTATTTTCTCAGATATTTCATAGAAATATTTGATGGCTGCTGTTAGTTTTTTCAGCTCTGCTGAAACCGTTGGTTTTTTTTAGTAAACTAACTCATCAAGTTCTTTACAAAATGCTGTTTACCTAGTTTTTCCTAGAAAAAACAAGGTTAATCAGCTTGTACAAAGCCTTATGTTACTGCTTTGGATATTTAGTTGTTCATGAGTACTCATTCACTATGCCTGTGGATCACCTGGAGTCCATGCAGTGCTTCAGGGGCATTCTGGAAGGGGAAACAGCTGAGCAGACTGTGGCATCTGAGCTGCTCCCTTGCTCCCATGGGCTTCTCCATGTTCCTGGTTGACCTAAATCCAGTGTGAGCTCTGCAGCCAGGGACCCTTCTCAGCACTGGGAGGAGCTTCCTTTGATCCTGCAGCCAGGGGTAGGGGTATCTTTGAGATGAAGGGACAATACTGTGCCTCAAAAAATTGTTAGTAGTTGTTGGACAGCAAGGATTATTGAAGGATATTTTATTACCAAATTGTGGATTTCAAAGAGGTTTCTGCGTTCATAGAAATACAGCTTAGACTCAGGCACACTTGCTCAGAAATTGAGAGCTGAGGAGCAGGAAGAGAAGAGATTCATGGCCAAAATCTTCCCTTGCTTTACTGATACAAGTCTGGGAATGATTAATTTTGAAGAGAATAGTACTGCTTGTTTTTACATTCACAATCCTGTGCGAAAAACTGGCTACCCGAAGACAAAATATTCAAAGGTAGGCAAAATTTCTGCCTGACATCAGATTAATTTAAACTTGAATAACATCCTAATGTTTCATTCAAGGTTTCCATCTCTATCACCGATTACCAAGACACATGCCTGAAAGCTGCATCCTGATTGCCATTGGAGCACTAGTAGGAGCGATCATCTTTGCTTCTGATCACAAATCTCCACCGGTGATGAACACGAGTATTTATTTCTTATATCTCCTTCCTCCAATTGTCCTAGAGGAGGGCTATTTCATGCCAACTCGACCATTTTTTGAAAACTTTGTGTCCATCCTGTGGTGGTCTGTGCTGGGATCTCTGTTAAATTCATTTGGGATTGGCCTCTCCCTCTATGCAATCTGTCAGATCGAAGCCTTTGGCCTGACAGACCTGGACCTGCTGCAGAACCTGCTCTTTGGAAGCATGATTTCAGCGGTGGATCCTGTGGCTGCTCTGGTAGTTTTTGAAGAAGCCTCTGTTAATGAGCAGCTTTACATGATGATCTTTGGAGAGTCATTGTTAAATGATGGCATAACTGTGGTGAGTTTCATTCTGTTCCTTTTCTTACCCTTTTTGGGCTTTTGTGGCTTGTAGGGTTACTGTGCACAGAACAAGAGAAGCTCTGAGCTGATCCCAGACACATTATTTTTTTTATGGATACCCCATTCCATTGTGCACAGGTAGTTTCAATGTATTTAAAGACTACATCTTATATTAACTCTTTCAAAAACACATTGGTTTAGAGCTGTTGGAAGAGGGAAGCATACACATATACATTAGAAATCACATCTTGCTTTTGCATTCACTGAAGTCAATGGATAAGTCACAACTGATTTTTCTAGTAGCATCAATGTAGGACCTAGAAACATTCCTGACAGCGTGCACGCAAATAAACGAAAACTATAATGCCTAAGAACTGAAGACAGCAGGGTTACCAATACAGAAGACTGTGCCTTGGCACATGTTTTAGAGAGCCCTCTGGAAAAAAGAAAAAAAAAGCCTGATGCAGAGAACCTGTGGAGGGCACATTGCTTCCTACAGTCCTTCCTAGGAAGTTCCTCAGAGATCTTACAAAGGTATTCCAAAAGCTACTACTCACTTTGCATAAGTCTGCCAGTGAAAATAATGACATCTGACAAATGTTCATCTTTCTTGGCTGATTTATCTCAAGTGTCCAGAAACAATGCTTCTGGAATAAAAGACATTTTACTCATTGTTATTTGTTTTGTTTGTTGTGTTTGGGTTTTTTTAATAAGAAAAGAGTGGTTTTACAGAGCTCTTTTCTCATTAGCTTTACTAAAACGTAAAGTAACCTGAAATTCTCTCTGTAACCAAAATTGTCAAAAACACTTAGAACATGCATATTTTTCAAGGAAGAAATTTCAAGCAGGAAAGCCATTGCTCAGAAACCAACAGGACTGCTAGTTAACTGCAGGTTAAGGAGTTTTGCTAGATAAGATCTTTACAGAATTTAAATCACAGGAATCTAAAACACATAAAAACTATTCAGATACTCTTATACATAGGGCAAAAGCCTAACTTGGACTTGTAAAGTCTGTACAGAGTTCATTGCTGAAAGGCTTCATGGGAGAAGTGCAGTTTATGAGTAATACGAAGAGGAAAAGGAAAGAAGTAATTTCTTGCAGCCACAGCCTATTGATCAGAAATCATTCCTCTTGGTAAATCAGAGATATAGGGCTGATGTAGGCTAAAGGACAAATGTTATTTAACTTCATATGCAAACTGCTTATGTGTTACAGCTGTAAACAAAAAAAATCCCAAATATATCTATCATTTCCACTTAGCTTTTTGGTTCCTTCAAGTGCAGACTTCAAAAAGTAATACCACTTCCTCAATCTGGAAGAACTTCTTTCATTTACTTTTTTGGGTTTTTGACTGGCTCTCTACCTTGTCTTCCCTTTGTTACCAGTTGTTATTTATGATGTGGGTCCAACTCATGATGGTGTTTACACGAGCTTTCAGTCAGGATCCTGTTACAGCATAAATGTGTAGTGACAGAAAGCCTTTAAAACCAGTGGTATTTATTCTTCAGAAGCACCAGGTGTGTTAGCAGAAGAAATGAAAGGGCTATACATGGGGGATGTTGGCTGCCCCACTGAGGGTTCCCTTTTCCCCATGTGCTCTCATCTTTGGGGCTCTTCTCACAGCAGCTGTGTTGCAATCCCTGTGTCAGCTCCTGCTGACACATGACGACAGGTGGCTGAATAGGAGCCAGCAGTGTGCCCAGGTGGCCAATAAGGCCAACAGAATCGTGGCTTGTGTTAGAAATGGTGTGTCCAGCAGGAGCAGGGACTCCTCACTACAAGAAGGACATTGAAGCACTAGAATGCATCCAGAAAAGGGCAACAAAGCTGGTGAAGGGTCTGGAACAAAGTCCTACAAGGAGTCGCTGAAGGAACCGGGATTGTGTAGCCTGGAGAAAAAGAGGCTGATGGAAGACCTTATCACTCTCTACAACTGCCTGAAAGGAGGTTGTAGGAGAATTGGGAGAATTGGGTGTTGGTCTTTTCTCCCACGTAACTAGAGATAGAAGGAGAGGAAAGGGTCTCAAGTTGTGTCAGAGGAGGTTTAGGTTGTGTGTTAGGAAAAATTTAATTACCGAGAGTTGTGAAGCATTGGAACAGGCTGCCCAGGGATGTGGTAGATTCACCATCTCTGGAGGTATTTAAACGTGTTGATATGGTGCTTAAGGAACATGATTTAGTGGTGACCTGGCAATGCTAGGTTACTGGTTGGACTTGATGATCTTAAAGGTCTCTTCCAACAAAAGAGTATCTGTGATCTCTGTATCACCCACTTGTCATCCATTTTCAGGGCATTCAAGTTCTCAAAATCTCTATATGGCTTTATGTTTGAGAAGACTGAAGTATTTGTTGCCTGGATGGAACACAGTAGGTGCCTTTCTCCTTTTTGATACCCCGCCTTGATTTTTTAAAGGCTTTAAAACAGTTTATCTCAGGTGTTTTATCTTACCATTTCCCCCCTGTTTCTCTCTTAACAGTTTTGTTTGAGTTAACTCTACGTGTTTAAAAAGATAATATCACCAAGATATATTAAGTACACATATATTTCGATTGTTAGAGTACAAATATCCCCCAGTTCTCTCCAGTCTGCTTATCAGCTTGAACATTTTTTTTCCCAGCAGGAAATACTGGTATGAATTTTGCTGAACTTGTGTAGTGCATTTGAGGCAACAATAGCTCCCTCTCCTACATTTCGTTCAATATCCTGGTATAAAAAATTGGTAAAATAACAGACTGTGGAATTAGAATGATGTTTTGGGAGTTATTTCCTTGCCTTAGGAGACTGAGACAATAGTGAGTAATTTATCCTTTTTACCCATTTGTACCTTTTTCCTGTTCTCTTCAGTAGGGCCATGTCTGTGGATGGAACAAAAAGGCTCCAGGTCCTGTTAATTTCTTCTTTTACCAGTTGCTTCTGAGTGGACTGTTTGCATCAGGACAGTGCAGACAGTGGACATCCTAACATGTAGCATACATTAGTGGAGTTTCACAGTCCTGTTCAAAACAGAGATGCTAGTAAATCCAGTCCAGATTTCATTTAAACCTGAGTGCAGGTGGAGGACCCTGATCTTGCTGGAAAGTGTTTCAAGTATCTGAAGCTCTGCTCCACAGGCCATTTCTTTCTCAACAGGAGCTGAGCATATGTGTACCTCAAGAAATGGAGTATTTCCTCTGACTACTTCATCTCTGAAGTTTAGTTTTAGAAACACTGCTAACTCCTATACACCATGCTCTACTAATACTGAAGCGGCAGTGATTATTTTCTCTAATGGTGCCCTCTTTTTTTATATGCAGCAGCAGAACAGTTAAAGAAATATACTGCATGATGGATAGCTAAGTAAAATTAATTTATTTGAGGGGATAGGAATTTGCATCTCTGATGTCACTGAGGAAATATTTGACCATCAGGATGTATGAGTGCTAGAAAGGAGAATGGAGATATGCTCTGCTCGTGCTGTTGAAGCTGACCATGTTTAGAGTGGTTAAGGCAATCAGCTGAAAAACTTTTTTTCCCATGTTTCTGATGTGGATGATGCGTGCAAAGTCTGTATTATATAGGCAGCTGGAGCCTCCCCTGGTTCCCAGGGGACGTCCCTTGTGGGTGACACTGTCACGCTCTCTCTTCCTGTCCTTGCCTCTAACAGCCACCCAGTGGTACACCACTACGCGGTAAAATCCCCTCCAAAAAAACCCGAAGCGTGACATTCTCAGAGTTGTTAGAGGCCAACTAACAATCCTTCCCTTCTTTTTGAGGCATCCTAAGCTGATTCAGGCTTTCTTATCGTATAAAGAATTACAGTACTCCATTTACCGACAAAGAACCACAATATAACTTAGCCAAGCAGTGTTACATGGAGCCTTACTCATATGACGCAGTGCAGGATGTTGTACAGAGCAGTTGCTCCTAAAAAACATGTTACAAAAAAGAAGAAAAGAAGGAAATTATGTCATATTTCCATAATTTCCATTTTAATGCCATTTCAGATGGACTTGACAATCTTAAAGATTTTTTCCAACCTAAACAATTCTGTGATTCCATATAGACACTAGGAACTAGAAAAAAAAGACACAGAAACTTGCTAAGTAATTCGCTGAGGATCATGTGCTGTATTCATAAGTCAGCGTAGATTCATGCCTTAGTATCAGTTATCAAGAATCACTGTCTCAGGAAGAGGTTGAAGTCTGCAAGAAAGGAGGAACAGATAGAAAATAGGCTGTATACTTTAAAACTATATGGTAAGTACAGTAAGGTTTACTTACTGTGCAACCTAATTTTATATATAGTCATCAGGAAAAAGGAGCTCTGGATAGTTTCTTTCATTAAACATTTTGTTGTGCTCTGTCTGTCCCCCAGAAATATTAGCAGTGAACCTCCTGGAGAACAGGGTGTGTGACAGCTCAGGGTCATATGTTCCTAGCAGCAAATTAAGATTAGATAGTAGCTGGGCAATAATTATTATCCTAATGAGCTTGACTCTACTACCTGTAAATATCTGCTTTAATCTTCTTAATAGACTTCTGGAATTAACTATGTGAAGAAGAAAGACCAAAGAAAAACAGATAAAACAAATTATTTTGGTCCATTTTATGGTTTTGAGCTAATGCTTTGGTAGAACAGCTTTAGAGGGTTGGTACCTTTAGATGTTCCCCAAATTCTCTGGAAGACTAAAAGGTGACTTTCCTGCGTTACACAGTTCTTGTAAACAGATCGGACAGGACCTAATATCGACTGACTTTCAACAACCTCTAAGACCTTTCAATTACTACACTGTTCATTACTGTGGAAATTTTCTGTTAGTTTTTTAAAGATGAATGAAAGTGGAATATAAGAAAGATTTTTCATCACTAATTTCAGCAGAAATTATTGATAATATGGTAAACTTATCTGCAGTAAACTAAATGAAATTATCTTATGTAGCAAATTCAGTCCCCTATTCTGACATTGTTTTCTTTATATTTTTGTTATTTCAAGCTTTCTAGTCGAAATGTATATGTGAAGGATCTTTAGGCCATTTAGAGTGTCACAGCTTTTGGTTCCCAGTTTGAGATTGACACAGCGTTCCTGGGAAGGAAGTTGAGTGGCATCAAACCCCAAACATGTGACAATAGAAAGACTGTATTTATCTAGTTAAAGGCAATATAAAACTGATGTTAATGTTTTCCTTTCTCTTCCCTTCCCTGCTTCCTTTCCCATTTCCAGTGATGCTTCAAGTTTTTTATGTGTCAAATACTACTGAAAAGCACTTAACATTCCAGAGTTCATCTACTGAGGTGTGTTTAATCTACTCATCAACCTAAATGGGTTGGTAAAGTTCCCAGCTGGGCTTTCAACATCTGTTATAAAGACCAATAGTTAACTTTACCTTCAGAAAACTAAAAAATATGAGTATTTTTCATGCTTTTTGTTACTTTTTAGGTTTCCTAGTGACAATTAATTCTGGGACTTGTTAGGAACCAGATGAAATTTCAACTGTTCCTTTGCTGATCTGTCTAAAGTAATTTCTGGCATATGCATATCTATGCACATACACACAAATGAGTAAGTCTGCCGGGTTCAGAAAGACATCTGACTGCTGTCTCCTTATTTTCATGCATAGGTTTTATACAATATCTTCATCGCCTTCACCCAGATGCATAGGTATGAAGAAATCGAATCCATTGATGTCTTTGCTGGCTTTGCTCGTTTCTTCGTGGTGGGTCTGGGCGGCATATTGTTTGGGATCGTCTTTGGACTTGTTTCGGCATTCATGACTCGATTCACATACAACGTTTCTGCTATTGAACCGCTGCTGGTCTTCATGTTCAGCTACCTGTCATACTTGTCGGCTGAAACCCTTTACATTTCAGGCATTTTGGCGTGAGTATCCCTTACAGCTTTTTGGATGCCCTCTCAAAGGCATTGTTTTCAGAAGGTGATTTTCTCAAAGTTGGTACAATACAGGGTTTTTTAGCCTCTGGAGTAAAGGTCTGCAGTGGACGGCTTCTAAGGGGTCTGTAAAGTGCAGTGGTAACTAAGAAAAGCAAACCCACAGTCACTATAGGCATACAGGTGCTACAGGGGAGTGGATATCTGCTCTGAAACTTTTTTAGATTTTTGCAGGTTGGAAAAAACACGGCAAGCTGTGGGTAAAATGACTAGTGCTGCCACCATCTGACAAGCTCAGCAGAATAAGAGAATGATTTGAAATAATTGTATCTGTATTTGCTTCTAAGCAGCATCACCACCAGATTACAAGAGAGATGAAAAGTAATGCTTACGGAAAACAGTATAAAGAACGTCCAAGTTCTTGCTTTTGTATACAGTTCTGAACATCAACTCTAACACAACTTACTGGAATTACGGCATCACTGGAACTGAAACTGGGCAAAACTAGACAACCAAGAACATCAAGCACATATGCATACATGTGTTCTTGTATACGGTTATTGCTGATTGTATTTTGGTATGAACAGGATAGCTTAATACTGCTCTAATGCCGAGGAATGCTTCCTTAAAGTGCTGTGGTGGCATGGGTGCCCGCTGCAGGTCTATTGACCACAGTGAATGCAGAGAGAGTGAGTATTGTGGGAAGGAAAAAGGACCGTGACAGGAAAGGAGTCAGAAGAGAAGTAAGGCATAGGGATGTGAGAGAATTTCTGAGAAAACTGCTAGTAGGTGGATTTCAAAGACACCACATCAAACAGTCCCTCATCAGGGTCAAGTGTAAAGAAATGGGAACTTGATGGTGGTAAGTGCTCCAGCTCGTGCTGTTGCCTGCCTCAGGCTCAGTGCCCAGCTGGTGGGTGGCAGCAGCCTTGTATGGCCTGTGTTGGCTCTGAGTTTGCATGCTGGATTTGCAGGCCCTGGTGCTCGAGAAAGAGGTTCTTTTTATCAAGGACAAACCGGTTTAAACCTTACAAATAGAAATGTGGGGGTGTTGATGTCCAGACAGGTGCATTAATTTACCTCCACTTGTCAAACCCTGACTTCATAGAAATATAGAATTATAGAACTATAGAATAGCTTTGGTTGGAAGTGATCTTTAAAGGTCATCTAGTCAAAATCCCCTGCAGTGAGCAGAGACGTCTTCAACTAGAGCAGGTTGCTTAGAGCTCAGTCCAACCTACCTTGAATGTTTCCAAGGAGGGTGTATCTACAACTTCTCTGGGCAACCTATGCCAGTGTTTTATCACCCTCATTGTAAAAATTTTCTTCCTCATACCTAGTCTAAATTCACTCTCTTTTAGTTTAAAACCATTACCTATTGCCCTATTGCAACAGGCTCTACTGAAAAATTTGTCCTCATCTGTCTTATAAGCCCTCTTTAAGGAAGGATACAATAAGGTCTCCGCAGAGCCTTCTCTTCTCCAGGCTGAACACTCAATTTCTTCAGCTTCAGCACAGAATTGGCTTTGTAAAAACAACGTTTTCAGGGTGGGCTTGTGAAGCAAGACTTGAATATTTAACCATATTAAATAAGAAGTTAGATAGAAGATACATTTTCTGATCAATTAAACAAAACAGATGAGTCTTGTACTGTTTTGCACATCCAACACATCTGCTTTGATTGAGGTGACTTTAGCTGAGTAAGGTTAGACCCAGTATGTAGTGAACAGTCATACCATATGGACCCTTTCCTACCTGTGCTGCTGAAAATACAGCTTCCCTGCCTGTTTATTACACTATGCTACACAGCTCTTTATTTCTTTTGCTTCTTATTTTCATTAGAGTGCCAAAACTATTAGTAATAAAAGAATGTTAACATAATTGAGATTTATTATTCTTACTGCTTCATTAAGGAAATTATTGCTTGGTTTAGGAATGGGAACTTATTGTCACCCTTCTGAATTATTGAGGAATTCATTCATTTTTCACTCAGATCATGACAGTATATTATTCATGTGTCTCTGAAAGTCAACAGTATTAAACATTAATGCCTAATGGCCTTGTCTTAGAGTGTCCTTGGACCTGCTAAATGTCTCAGCTCCACTACAGTACCCTTGAGATTTCTCCAGTGGAAATTAAATGAGCAAAAACTAGATGAAGGGTTATTTAATGAACAGTCAGCATTCTCTGAATTCACAAGTTTGGAAAAATATCATCACAAGAAGCCCCTGAAGGATAAAATAATATCAGTAGAAACCAGACAGATGATGGAATATGCTACCAGCACAGCACTCAATCTATCTATTACATATGACTATGGAAACTGAAGGGGGAATAGGAGACCCCCTTCAGTAGAGCTGCTCAGAGACTACTGCTCCATGTGATTCTTACCAGTGTCTGTGCTGGGCAGCTGCTAATGGCTCTGAAGTAGGCTCTAGTCTTCATTAACAGTGAAAAGGTGGAAAGTACATCTTTGCTTCTTTGGGCACATTCCACACACCCTGGGCAACTAAAAGGCGGGGAAGAACACTTCTGCGGGAGAGCTGAATTTCCCCCTGCTGTACAGCAGTGGACTGCTGTGGGTGGAGTGTCTCTGAAGCTTACCCTGGCCCTGCTGATCTGACATCCAGGGAGCTGCAGGGAGCTTTGAGCCCAGTATAGGACTACCACCATGTTCAAAGGAGCAGGTCCATAAGAGGCAGGTCACGTCCCTCCAACCGATCCAGCTGGTACGAAACCAACCTGCTCTTTGTTTGAGACGTAAATATTTGGTGCTCTGTGGCTGTGTGTTAAGCATTCGGGATAAAATGGACTTTGAACTGGAATGTGACACCCTCACTTCCTCATCAGGAAAGCTGACTTCCTGTGCACAAAATGGATTTGTAAAGCTGAATGAAGATGCTCTACTATCCGACAAAATAGCTAACAATACTGAAAAACAAAATTCTTCTTGATATTAGGAAGGTCAGAGGCTGGTGATGGAGCGTGCAGGTAATGAAGGCTGAAGTTGTACTTAAATGAAAAGAAAAACAGGGTATGGCTGACCTCCAATGTTTTGCCTCATACAGGATGACAGCATGTGCAGTGACAATGAAAAAATATGTGGAGGAGAATGTTTCCCAGAACTCCTACACCACTATAAAATATTTCATGAAGATGCTGAGCAGCGTCAGTGAGACCCTGATTTTTGTGTTCATGGGAGTGTCTACAGTGGGGAAAAACCACGAGTGGAACTGGGCCTTCATTTGCTTCACTCTGCTCTTCTGCCTCATTTGGCGGACACTGAGTAAGTCAGCTTTTGCAGGCAACATTCTCTGCACCTCTGTGAGGAACCCTTTAGTGCAAAGGTATGTTAGAAAAGTCTGTGCAGACTGGCATAACCGGTTTGATAATGAATTTATGAGGCTTATGTTACTGACAAGTTAATTCCACAGATCTACGCATGGAGAAAAAGAGGGGGAAAACCCCAAACAAATCTGTATGTCAGTCTCCAAGCACAGACATTATGATTAGGTGAGAACGGAATATTTTAAGCAAAATTAAAATATTTCCATGATTATGCCTCTGTAGATGCTTATATCTTAGTTAACTACATGCCCTTGGGTAAGTGATCTTCAAAATGATTTAATCTGATTTCACTGTAATTAATTTGCTAATCAGATAATCTACATCACCACACTTCTGGTGCTATAACACTACATGTCCTGGTCCAGGAGTGCCAGAGGGAATGAAAAAGAGGGAAGGTGAAAATTAGCAGTCATAGATAACTGAACAGGAACTCTATTTCCTTCATCATACCACATGTAGGCCAAACACACTATGCTACTGCTCCTCATAAGTCAGCTCAGAAGTTTTCAACTGCTAGAAAAGATAGCCTGTTTGAAATTACTCTATTTCTACACACAGTATCTCTCCATCCTTGGAAAGGTCTCCTACTCTCTAATCTGTGAGACTGGTTAGTTCCCCCGTTCTTCATTTATAATCAAAGGAGGACCCTCTGTAGCATCCTGTGAGACAGAAATCTACCTCTTCCAGCCTTCAGCACTTGTCTATACTCCCTTTAGACACAAAGCCTTGACCTCTGGGCATTGGCCCTGCATAATCTGCTACAGTACTGAGGATGAACAAGACCTGTCAGATGATTCATCAGAGCCAGCTGTGTCCTGAAGGGGAAGGCAAAAACGATTTGAGAGGAAAACCAAGTGACAGTTGCTGGAGATTGATAGATGAATCAACTGGTGAATATGCTTTGTCTTCTCTACGACTCACGAAGAAGGAAGAAACGTCTGAAGATGTGAGGATTGAAGGCAGCCTTAATTAAAGTGACCATGAGACTGTGGATGTTAGCATCCTGAGAAGGGTGAGCAAGCCATCAAACAGCAGAATTACAATCCTGGACTGAGAAGAGCCGATTTTGGCCAGTTGAAGTAGTTGATAGTGTGGGAGGGGAGTTGGCTGGACTGCTGGGCTCAAAATACTGGTCTAGCTGTTGGCTAATGGCATCCTTCAGAGCTCAGTACAAGGATCAATGTTGTTTTAATGCCCTCATTAATGACCTCTTGAGGATGGAATGGAGGGCACACCAAGCGAGTTTGTGACTGACACCAAACTACAAGGAACAGTCAATATTCCAGGTGGCTTTTATTCAGAAGGACTTGGACAGGCTGGAGAAACTGGCTGACATGCAGCTCATGGAATTCAGGAAGAGCACACGCAAGGATTTGTAGTGAGTTGGAATAACTTCATGTACCAGTATAGGCTTGAAGTCTAGTAAAAAACTCTGCATAAAGGACTTGCCCTGGTGGACAATAGGTTGAACATAAGCCAATAAGCTTGACAAACGAGGTCAACAGTGTCCTGGGATACATCAGCAAGTCTGTAGCCAGTAGGTCCAGTGAAGTGTTTCTTCCTCTCTTTGAAAAGACAGGTGGAAGTGTGCATTGTCTCCAGAGTGCTCTCTTCAGTTCTGTGTTCCCCAGTATAGGAAGGACATGGAGATTCTGTATCAACTGCAATAGAGGCCACCAACCTGCTCGGAGGCTGTAGAACTGGGTGTACAAAGGCGAGTCTGAGAGTGCTATGCAGCCTAGGGAAGATATGTCACAGTAGATAGAGGTCTTACTGCTTTCTACAAGTACCTGATCAGAGAAGAGAGAGAAGATTGGGTCAGACACTTCTCAGAGGTGCACAACAATAGAACAAGAGGAAACAGACACAAGCTGGGACATGGGAAATTCTGATTAGACAGTAGGAACCCATTTCTTAACATGAGGGTTATCCAATATTGTAAGAGTGGCCTAGCTCTCCATTCCTAAAGGCATTCAAGACTTGACTGGAACTTTGCGCAACCCGATCTGATTAGCTCTGCTTTGAGTAGGTACTTGGACTAGTAGACCTTCAAAAGTCTTTTACAGCCTACAGTACTCTGAGTCTAACTTTTGGGACCAGCTAAGTCTTGGCATCAAACACGTGAGATTAAGGAGCTGTTTCTTAAATCTGTCAGGTGGCTTACCCTTCCATCAAAATGAATATAAGAGCAAGAAGAAGATGTTGGCTTGACCCTCAAAGCTCATACACATTTTAAGACCTTTGACTTTTAAGCCTGGGAGCCCTGGAGAAAGGTATTTAACCACAGGAAAATGTAGATAGGGGAAATATGTGAAAGTTCAAGTATGACCATCTGAACAGCTCTATTATATAAGGATGACACAAATACTCAACAGCAGAGGTGACATTATTCTTGTGGGTTGACGGCACGAACAAATAAATATTTTATTGCTAATCTTGAACCAAGCATGGCCTCTGTGTTTCTAAAGGCTTATTTTCAGAGTCCATATTGGAATACTCTTCCAATCAAGACAGGAAAAGTGTTCATCTGATCCAAAAGCTATTTTGCTGCCACATGTCCAACCTTCTCTCAAACACCAAGGGGAGTGCTAGAGCTTTCCAGAGGAAGGATGAAATATTTTCCACTAAATTTGTTTGCTAAAATGCTGACATCATTTTCTCTGAAGCTTAGATAAAGAGAGTTGGCCTGAGGGTGATACCTCACCTACACAGTCTCAGTCTGAGTAGCTGGTGTCTAGCATAGATATAAGTAGCCAAAAAAGGTCTTACATAAAGTGGTATCCAGAAACCTTTATAACAGGATACTGGTACTTAGGCCTTACCTGTAGTAATCCACTGAGTTTACCAATGACAGCTGTGTAAAATAGTATTTTTTAGCTTTGATTCCAGTAATTTAACAGTTTCTACACAAAACATAGTATACATGTTTCTTACAGAAGATGAAGAGTAAACAAAGCAAACTGGTAAATGTGCTCTATAGATCAAAGCTGCAGTCCTTACATAGCCACAGGCTGTCTGATTAATTTTAACTTTTATTAAAAACAAAGTGAAATTTCAGAAATAAACAGAGGATTACGGGCATTATAAGCCTGAGGATTAAAATTTAAAATGCTGTTACTCTTTGCCTTTCAGTGAACATGTCCACGGGATTTATTGGTAAAGCACCGTTCGAACACTTTGGGCGCATACTATGCAGAAAGCAGGAAAGATTGCAAGGGAAGGTACAGCAAAAACTCTCATCCAGTGGTTTGTCTTGTCTCCAGAGCACTTCAGAGAAGAATGGTGCAACATAAATATAGAAAGTAAATATTTTGCCCTAATATCACTTCTAAAGTGCATAAGTGAATTTAAATCCTCAAGCGGCTAGGAACCATGGTCTTTTCTAGGAGATTATTTCACACAAATTAGGTTCAGCTGCTGGTCAAATAGAAGCTACAGGAACCCAAATTTGGAAAGAAAAGTCTGCTGAAAAGTCTGCCAAGAACTGCCTGAGCCAAGCTGTTGTTTTCCTTTAAATATTTCATTTTTCCCCTTGATTAATAATAATTGTGGAGTTTTTTTTTCCCTTCCTAGGTGTATTTGCTCTCTTCTACATCAGTAACAAGTTCCGAACATATCCCTTCACCTTCAAAGATCAACTCATTATTTCCTACAGTGGCCTTCGAGGAGCCAGCAGCTTCTCTCTTGCATTCTTGCTTCCTGTGAATCTCTTCCCAAGAAAAAACCTATTCATTACTGCTACTCTTGTAGTTATATATTTCACTGTGTTCATTCAAGTAAGTGTATTTCTTAATGGATTGCTTTTATATAATAAGAGTGACTGAAAACTTCATAGGGGAGACTGCATTGAATTTAGGTCTAAACTAGGACAAGCTATCATATTTTATGGAGAGATTTATCACTGCACTGTGCAATTACCCTTTCAGGGCTTTTTAGGTATTATGAAATAACATTTTCAAGAAGTCTGTACTGAAAACCTGCATCTTCTAAAATATTCAGGGAAAAGGGCACCTTCTGTAGCGGCCCAGTTAGCTCAGTCAGTTGAGCGTGGCACTAGCAAAGCCAAGGTGGCGAGTTCGATTCCTGTTCGGTCCCCATGTGTTGCCTGATCTAGTCGACAGGTGACGTCCCTGGTGACAGGGAGGCTGGATTAAAATGATCTCTAAGGTCCCTTCCAGCCTAGGCCATTCTATGATTCTATGATTCTGTCCAAAAATCTTTTATGTTCAGTACACATGCACTTCCTAATTAAATAGCATTTTAACTTTACACTTCAGCACAGGATCATTCTCTACTAGTGGTGTATCTCAAACTGAACAGAAAATAATACGTGTTCTATGAAGGATTTTGGATTTTTTTCTTTTATCTTCATTCATATTGGAGAAACAATGAGAATGATTTGAAATCCTTTGTAAAGGAATACTGAAGAAAAATAAAGTGAATAATTCAGATTTGTAACAGGTGTCTATTTCAGATGTTTGGGTTATCTCACTTGGCTTACAATGCTGTATCTGAAAGAACTGGATCTTCTGGTGGTCCTGCATCCTATGTTCTGTATTTTCACACACCAATATCTTAGACACACTAGGGTGCCAGTGGGGCACTTTGCACTTGTGGCTAGGCACTTGGATTCCACTGGAATGTTTCAGAGAAAAGCATTTTGTTTCTGTGTCCCCTTTTTAAATGCTATTCTCTAGCAGTGTAGTAAAGAATTGGGAACAGCTGAAAGTGATTTCTAAGTGGAAAAAGAAGCCCAAAGTATTTATTCCTGAAAATGTTAAATTAAGAGTTTTCAAGACGGTAAGAATCTCACAGAGAGAAGGTTTTATTTCAAGTGAGTGCTGTTTTGAAGATTGGCAATAAGTCAGTAATTTTACATAGTTAAAACATGTTAATAACTACAATCTCACTTAAACCCAAACAAACTGATGTATAATATTTTTTAAGTTTCTGAGTTTTAATCCTCTTCTATAGTATGACATACAAGTAGATAGCTACTTAGATCTTGTATCTAAGACACAGCTTTCCTAACTGATTAAAATTAAATCCTTTTGCCTTCTTCCTGTTTTTAATAGAAGATAATTAACATTTAAACTCATTTTTCCAAATGCAGGGAATCACAATTGGACCATTGGTCAGATACCTAGATGTGAAAAAGACCAACAAAAAGGAGTCTATCAATGAAGAAATTCATGTGCGAGTAAGTTTTTTTTTTATATCAGTAGATGGTATCCTAAAAAGAGGAAGAGAAAAGATATTCCAAAAGAGCTGGACAGAGAGAGGCATTTAGGAGCACTGGCATTCAGTGGATTTGGACACTGAATGCTTTAAACAGTATTTGGAGGAAACATTAGACATAATTTTCTAAAATATGATGTCTCATTTATATTCATAGCAACTATCATCTTATAATTTCATACGATAAGTGCTATGGTAACACAGAGCCCTTACTTCTTCATACTCGTGTCCATGTGAGGACAGAAATATAAAGGTAGCGTCTACAAAAAGCTAGATTTGTCAAATACTTCTGTTCGCAACTTTTGACTGGTTCTAGATACATTGACACCTCAAAAGTCTTTAACCAAGTTTTACTGAACTGAGTTGAACTATTGGTCCGCAAATTTAAAGTTATTCTGAGTAATGATCTTTTCCCCTCTCAAACATTTGCTTTAGTTCTTAAATTACTATTATATAAAATAACAGGAAGCTGCTTAAGTAGACTTAACACTATACAAAATATATGTAAATGCTTTCATTTGCACAACAGGGAATATATTTGAAAATAAGAGGAACACTGTGCCTTAAAATTAAGCGCATGCAGACACATTAGCAAAATTAGAGTATTTCAACTGATTCGAAGTGCATTTAATTCTTGCTGGTTTAGCCTTCACACTTAACTTTGAAAAGAATTACATTTAAAAGCACCACTTATAACAATGTATGTATAAGAATTGGCCATTTTCCTATTTGTGTCTATAATGCTAGAACCACACAAAAGATGACTGAAAAACCTAGTAGTTAGCAGTGATGAATTTAGTAATCTCATGACCATTTGCAAAGTCCTCAGAGAACTTGTCAGTTAAGGCAAAGGTTAGGATGTGGGATACCCTGTTCTGTGCCTTTCTCAGGCAGGTTACATTTTAGAGAAACGTAGGTATTTCAGAATTAACTCACATCCTCTAATTAAAAAAACAAATCTCAAAATTATGTCAACAACTGTGTATTTGTGGTGACATTACTTTCTCACAATAGTGACAATTTTTTTCCATGTTTGTTTCTCTAGTTGATGGATCATTTGAAGGCTGGTATTGAAGACATATGTGGACATTGGAGTCATTATCAGCTGAGAGATAAGTAAGCACCTCTTATTGCAGCCTATTACAATAAAATAACGTATCTATCATGTAAAATACAATAGGCAAATAGGATAATAAATCAATCTCATGCCCCATAAAGCTAAAATAGCATGAAAATATTGGGAATAAGTGTTATATCTTTTTTTAAAAAAAATTGAAGAGTTATCTCTTGGAAGTACAGTGCTTGTCTATTGCCTGCTAAAATTCTGTCCAAAAAAAGCAGAAAATAAGCCTTCTGAAGGAAAAACATGGCGTTGGAACTCATGCTGCAAACATCAGCCTGTTCACATAGCTTTGGCATAAATCTCAGATCTGTGGCAGTGCTCCTGTAGATCTGCATTTAGAACAGAAGCTACATGTGTCAGTGTTTCACTAACTTTTGCTGTATGCCTTCACAGCAAATATGATCCCTTGTCAATGAGTATAGATTCAATAATAATTAGTCAACTGTCCTAACAGGTTATTGCGTTCAGTTATATTTAGAACAAGAGTACTGAAACAGAATGATTGTATTTAAATATCCAGTAGCATAAGCAGTCTTCACTCAGAAACACAGGATCTGTGTTGTCTTCTATAAGCAGAATGAGGTGTGAAGCTTTTGTCTCTTTCAGGTGCTGCCCAGAGGAGATGGACATGCCATTCTGAGCTATCATTCCTTTTGCCTTTTCCCTAAGAAAGCCCTATGATCATGCTGGCCACCATCACAGCCTGTGAAGGGAGGTGTGGGGACAGACTAATCTTCCTTTCCCACAAACATCCTTTCCCTCGTTATCCCTAGTTACGCCTAGACTTCTGCACTGGAGTCCTCTGTCTCACCTTTCAGTGCTGAACCCCATTAATCCAGACAGAATGGTCTGCTGGTAGATGTGGCAACTCCTTTCATGACTGGTTTCTCGCTATGGAAATCAGGAATTAAGAGTGGGAAGAAGATGGCTGGTTTGCATCCAGTTCTTGTCCCACCAAACAGTGATGATGTAATGTGCTAGAGCACATGCCTGGACCCAGAAAATAAAATATTCTCTTTGCTCTCTCAGTATAGAGATGACTTTAGGACATCCACTGAGACCCCACAACTCTCTGTCAGTAAACTAAACAAATGCCTGCTGGAGCAGTAATTCCATAGATACAGCTGTACTTACACATACCTAGGAGAAAATATTATCCTCTCATCTCGCGTCTACCCAATGGCTAAGAAAAGAGAATTTTGTCCAAACTAGGCATAAATGCAGTGTTTTAGTTCAGGGGCAGATTGAAAAAACACACCGAATGTGAAGATACTCAGTCTAAGAAGGTTGTATTAAAAGGTGTTTGCTAGACTTATCTTCACAACTTTCAAGATGTTTAGCATATGTATATCAGAATTAATTACTTGAGTGCTGACATTCCAGGAAGCTTCCTGTCACACTGAAAAACGTAAAGAGCTCTAATCCCAGTGGAAACATCTGTGTACCTATCTGTGCTATTCATGTATAAAAACTAATCTTTGTTAAGAAAAAATGTACAAATTCTGTAGTGTTTTTCCTAGCATTGTGAAGCACTTATTTACCTTGCTGTGGTAAACTGTTCCTTTAAAAGAAACATACAAGAAGATCTGCTGTTGTTCTGCTAAATGTCCTCCTGAAAGTGCATACCTGTTCCAAAATGCACACACACATTCACATTCAAATTATGCCACACATTAGCAATATTTTACAATCTGCAGCACGTAGCATTTTGGTGTCCATTCAATTTCTCTGTTATTCAGAATACAAAGAACTGTATTTTCTCTGTTCTAATTGTCAGGATTCAAAATTATCAACAACATAATGGGCCCAAACTACTGTAACTGCTGGGCCATTTAAAGTGTTATTGGTGGCTGCCTGAATAGACCAGAATTGCTGTAAGAGCAGCTGCTGCTGTTATGCCCTACTAGAACACAACATTTGCACAAAGGCATAGAGACTGGCCATATTCTTTTCTGACAAATGTGGCAGTATTATATGCAAACACACATCCAGCCCTCTTTTTTGCTCTGATTGCAGCTTGTTTCTTTCTTTTGTCTGGTGGGCTTTGCAATCTCCATGGACCAGTAGACCATGCCAAATGTCCCTCTAAAGGTCTCTGCTCACTAGGCCTTCAGGAGTCCACAGGTGCCTCCAATTTGGATTCAATTTCCACCACTGAATTATACGTATGTGTGCATTTGAATGAAGATCGGCTCCTACCACAGAAATAAAAACACATTTCCTTTTTTTACAATTTGATTTTAATACCTTTTTTTCAGATTTAAGAAGTTTGACAATAAGTATTTGAAGAAAATCTTAATTCGGCAACATCAGCCAAAATCCAGTATTGTGTCATTGTACAAAAAGATGGAGATAAAACTGGCTGTTGAGATGGCTGAAAGCATCATGAATGTTTCAAAACCATCTACAGCTTCTTTACAGTGAGTACTGACCTTCTGATCTTTTGCAGAGTAGGGACGAAAGGAAGGAAGGTGACATAAGTGAGGAAATACCCAAGGGATTTCATAACTTCCATAGAAAAGTAATTTTAAAAGAGATAGTTATGAAAGGAGAGGTTACTGGTTTGTGCTGGCAATTTGGTGATTATCATATTTGCACTTTGGCTCTTTGGTCACAGAGTGAAAATTAAAACCAGAGACATTTTCTCCATTTCTCTTCGGTGGAGCCAGGCACAGAAGCCCCTCCGGTTGCTTTAAATCACAGCAGTGGTGCAAGGTGGCTGTACTAGTCCCTTAGCTGGCCAGTGAGTTTTGCTCGTCACTGTTAGGTGCTGAGAGACCTGCAGGAGAGCTTAGAGCACAGGTCCAGACTCCATTGTCCCACTCACAGATTTCTGCTAAGAGCAGTTTTCCTTGGAGCATTTACAATTTTTGCTACTTCACTCTGCAGTCTCTCAAACTGCGTTGCCATATTTCCTGCTTCTGTACCAAATTAATCTGATTAAACACTGAGAGCATCCCTGCAGGGAAGGACTCAGGGGGTACTAGTGAATGAAAAGCTGCACATGAGCTGGCAATGTGCACTCGCAGCCCACAAAGCCACTAGGATCCTGGGCTGCATCAAAAGAAGCGTGGTCAGGAGGTCGAGGGAGGTGATTCTCCTGCTCTGCTCTGGTGAGACCCCACCTGCAGTACTGTGTCCAGCTGTGGGGCCTCCAGCATAAGAAAGACATGGACCTGTTAGAGCAGGTCCCCAAGAAGACCACAAAAAGATCAGAGGGCCAGGCTCCCACTGGCCACTGTTTCTGCCGCTGCCTGCTCTTTGCTGCTGCATCCTTCAAACCCTCTCCGTTTTCCAGCAGCCTCTGGCAGGGCTCAGCATTTTTTCTTTCTTGAGTGATCATCTCATCCTATAAAACAAAGTTCTAATACCAACTGGATGTTAAATTAAAATGTCTCTTAAAACTTAGGTTTAATCCTGTCAAGATTCATCTGCTTTCCTGAAACTGATGTCAGCATGCAGCGTAAGACCTGCTTCTTTTCATCTAAATCATTCTTTGCTGAACAGATGATATTAAAGAAGATTGTGTGTCTGTCAGACTTCTTTCTGTCTGTTGTATTCCCTTAACTGTTCTGAGACAAGAGAAAATGTGCAAGGTACAAAATCTATGGCAATCAAACTGCATTCTTCTTATTTTCTTGAGGGAAAATAAGATGAATTGCTTCAGCTACGTTCAGAAATTCCCTCCTGAGATGAGGATTTAGAATGAAGGATATTGTATAATGAACAGCTGATATAATGGACTAATTTTTGCCAGCTCCACTTCAGCTATAATTGAATTTTACTGTTTCCTACTGAGACAGCCTTTTTAAAAAGCAAGTGTCAACTTCAAAAACCAAAGTGCAGCCTGTGGCTCAGAAACATTCTGATTCTTGGAGCCTATAAGAGTGTTCTAGGAAAACATGTTTTCTCAGCTCTGTTGCTGGATAGGTGTCTGCTGTTGAGCACTGGAGGAGACAGAGTAGTTGGCTAGTTGTTGGACATTTGGTCTGAGTCAATGCAGCGATTCTTATATCCCCATTCTCCTGAGAAATTAAGTGAAATTGCTCAAGACTAAAAGGTTTCTGAATATATTTGTAAATTGTTTGATTGTTATCATTGATGTAGGTCGTACTTAATGTCCTTGTCTTCAGTGAGGATAGAAAAATCTGGCCATGAGCAAGCGGAGATTTGAAATCAAATTCCAATGTATAGCACATAAAGTAATATTTGCAGTGCCATCGTAATACGAAAATTCTCCCACTAGCTCTTCTGATCAGTTCTGCAGCATTGAGGCACATAAGGGGAAATGCTCTATAACAATCAAAGTAGATTTCCATTGCTGCGAATTAGCGTTCTTCTCAAAAATAACATTCATGCTGGTATGATTCCTGCAAGTGAAGTGGGTCTCTGATATGCAGTATTTCCAATGGAAACGGGAGAAATTTGCCCGTGGGCTACGCAACAAGGCATCCAGATTTGAAGGAAAATAGAGCATTTTGCTATAATGTTTTGAGAATATAAGCTTAATTAATGTTGGCTTCATATTACTGCAAAGTTGACTTTGGTAAGAGCAAGTCTTAGAATGTATCAGTACAGCACAGATCAGAATCAAGTGCTGTGTGGTCATTTGTAGTGGTGCAGTTTTGCAAGAACTGTGCCTGGTGAATGTTACTTCCTTCAAACGACTAGTGAAGATTGGTGAAGAGTTCATAAAGTTAACAATTTTAGATAACTAATATAATAAATAAAATACAATTAACATAACTAAATCCTACAATGTTTGTGAAAAATATTTTATTTCCTCCTGGTAAGAACTATCTCCATGTTTACAGAAGAAAGGGGTGCCATCATGGTACGCATTACAGAGAGACAGTTGGTTTTGTAGTATATTATTATTTCACTCTTTTCTTCACAAATATATCTTCTATGCTATGTTTTGTTGTAACATGCTGGAATTTTTAATAAGAACAAAGAAACAGTTTCAATAAGGATTGCTTTATGGCTTTGGTAACATACCAAACTTGTTTGTTGTTTTATTCTGAAAGTTCTTTTTTTAATGTATTATATATTGCAAAATGTATGAGTAATCTGTTCCTTATTACCATACCTGTGCATTGTTATTGGTTCGGTAGGTTAATATCTAATCCTATGAAAAGAATATACATTTTTTACTTGTGCTCCAAACCAATACAGACTACCTTCATGCTGTTGGTTCTCTTGCTATCCCAACATAGCTGAAGATCAGGGAATTTTACGTATTCTAGTTAAGTCACTTTAAGTGCAAAATTATAAGACTTAGGACTGGCCACTTCTGTACCAGCATGTGGAGGGGGTCAGGTATGCAATTGGAAATGTAAGGAGATGATCTTATGTTTTCCCAGTGTAGTTCTGCTTTCCCCTGTTTAGCAGCTTTTCCCCAACCAATCCCAACTGTAGGGTATATAAAGGCTCTGTGGAGACATCCAGTGAAGTGCAGACCAGAGAGGCACTTACTCCCTATGATGTCAAAGCTGCTTGCATTGATTGTCAGTTCGATTTGCATTACACAAATGAGCCAAGCCTGCATTTTATACACCACTGCTTGTTGACAAGCTAGGTTGCCATTAGTCCCCAGGGTCTGTGCTTGTGTTTGCTTTCCCAGGTGTCCAAAGGGACAGCAGCTAGGGACTGCTGACAGCAAAGAGACTGGTTTCCTTGCTGTGGATAGGAGCACACATGGACACAGCCTCCAGCACAGTAGACCCAACATGGCATAAGAGTGCATTGCACCTAAGTCTGGAAACTCAGTGGCGTCCCTAGACCCTCTCAGTGTTATCCCTGAGAGATGGAAGCAAGTGGAAAACTAATGAATGAACAAACCAACCAACTAGCCAAACAATAAGGACACTAAACTGGCCTGGAATCGGATGGTGGTGATGGTCTTTTTTCCCTCTCATTGCATTCCTTTCTCTACCAAAATGTGACAGGACTGATGTGGTCTATATATAACATCATTCTGGTAAATACCTAGCTTTGTTGTCATTGCTGTTGATGAGAATTGATGAATGTCAATTAAACATTTGTTGGGCAGAATTTATCAGGGCCAGGATAATATTTTTAGTCCAGAAAGGGAAATCCTTTTCTGTCATTTTGGCTTGCCAATAGCTGAGTGGTAGACTCATGGGTCTCTCATGACTCAATGAGATCCCCATTCTGTTGGTTACTCCAGCTCTACCTTTAACAATTTTTCTTTTTACTTCATGAAAAATCTTGCAAATCTCAGGTTTGGTCTCATGTACAATGAAAACACATTCTGAAACTTTGAAATATAACAGGAATTCATTCTTATATTCCAGTGGCTTTGGACAGGTACAGGCCACCAGTGCTGACTATCTACTTGTTGGTAAGAGGCAGTAAAATGTAGAATCCAGGCAGGTCATGATGGTCCTACAAGTTTTTAAGATGTTCGTATCATAGTATAGTACAAAAAAGTGATAATCTTGTTAAACTACCTGTAATGACAAATTCCAACCTTTTTCCTATTTACAGCATAAGCTCAGTTTAGCTTGAGTTCACCTTTCTTTGTCATTAAATGTTTCAAATTTGTTTTAGAGGGAGTACAAAATAAATGCACACAAATCTTCAGCAACACTGTACATTGTTCATAATCCATTCTTTAACTGTATAATTTACAGACAAAACTTTAAGGACATCACTTAGCTGAGAACAAATATTTGCAATTACTTTTTTTTTTAAAAAAAACAAAAGACAGGGAAGCAAAATGGAGAAAGGAAAAAAATAGAAACAAGATGAACTCAGACTGATTCACTCTGGATGATCACTATTTCCCTTTCCTTTCTTGGGAATTCAGCCAAAGGCTAAATCTCACACAGATTGACTGATTTACCAAAACCAGTTAACATTTCACAGCAGTCCTCATCCATTATTTTCCTAGTGAAAAAGCCAGATAGATACAAGTTACTGTGGTCTTCTTGTCAGAGTTTTTTAAAAATACGAAGATGACTATCTTTATGGTAGTTCCTTCATTTTAAATAGAGAACCAGGCTCAGTAGCAAGGAAACCCTGAACACTCTTCTCACCACAGGGCTGGTGTCTCAGACTCCTTAAAGATTCTTAAAGATTTTTCTTAAAGTTTTTAAAGATTTTCTGCACTTTCTCAAAGGAGTTGAAACCAATAGGATAGTGACGCCCAGACTGCTAAGGCAGGGCTGAAGAGTGTATTCAGAGAATGAAACTTGCAGAGCCTTCCTGAACATACGGCTGGTTCTTGCCCGATTTAATGCTTAAATACAATCTTCCTTAGGAAGCTTTGAGAAAGAAAAGAATAGTTTCTGCTGTATGAGGGCTTAGGGTCCATTCTGACTACCCAATATATTGATAAAACTCAGGAAAAAGAAAAATCTGACAGTTTTTATTAAACTTTGGATGATTTCATGGTGTCACTGGTCACAGAAAGGCTCTTCATAGCCTTTTGTTCTTGCACTAAAAATAGATCATGCATCATTTCACAGGAATACTATTCAAGCAACTCATTAGTATCACGTTTAAACTTCTATTTTATTTACAGGAGTGATATAAAGCAGCATACGCATAGGTTTTCCCCCGCAGAGATGGAGTCCATGAGAGATGTCCTGGCACATAATCTATACAGAGTGCGACAAAGGGTGCGTAAGTGACCTGCTATCACTTGGTATTTGCAGACTGAAAGCTTTTGTTTGCCCTTCTGATATCGTAGCCATGGTGGCTGGTAGCACTGGGACCAACCCTGGAGTCACACTCATGGGAAACATGGGCTGGGATCCCACAGCTGCTCCAACACAGGAGCTGCATGGGGAAGGCAGGGAAGGAGCCCTGACTCTGTGCTCACTCCTGGGTGAAAAAAAGGAAAGCAGTTTGTTTTGTTTTGTGAGGTTTTTTTTTCCTCATCAGCTTTGCACACTGATAGCAGTGGGAAAAGGTAGGAAAAATCTATAACCGAGCTGTAGAGGTCAGCCTTCCCTTGCTCACAGCTCCCTTGTGATTCAGAAACAGCCTTCTCAAGGCCACCAGATGTTCCCAAGGAAGTCTGAGTTCCTAGATCATAGAATCATAGAATCATAGAATGTGTTGGGCTGGAAGGGACCTTCAAAGCTCATCTAGTCCAACCTCCCTGCAGTGAGCAGGGACATCTTTAACCAGATCAGGTTGCTCAGAGCCCCATCAAGCCTGACCTTGAATGCCTCCAGGGATGGGGCCTCCACCACCTCTCTGGGCAACCTGTTCCAGTGTTTCGCCACCCTCATAGTACAGAACTTCTTCCTAATGTCTAACCTAAATCTACCCTGCTCTAGTTTAAAACCATTACCCCTAGTCCTATCACTACATACCTTTGTAAACTGTTCCTCCCCAGCTTTCTTGTAGGGTCTTCTCCCCAGGATCGGGCACAGCTCACACGGCGGAGGGCAATGAGCTGGACCCATCCCTGGCAGCCCTGGGGAGGATGCCAGGCTCTGTGGGAAGCAGCTGGCTGGCAGGTCGCCAGCAGTGATGAAACTTCCCTGTGGAGGTGGATGGATCAGTGGTGGTAAACATTGCGTAGCCCAAAGTCAGCTGAGAGTCAGCCTGGTAAATCTTTGGTCTATGTGGGTGGAGCAGTTTGCCCTAAGTGTAAGAGGAGAAAGGCAAAAAAAGAAACAAAAAACTCCCAATTCCCCAGCCTCTGGAGTTTCGCTTTAGACATTTGGGTTTTTTTCCTGTGAAATGAGGAGGATGATACCTCAGCAGGGATTTGTTTTGCAGAAATTTGTACTGATTCTGATGCAGCCCAATATATAATATCTACTTAATCCAATCTTGGCCCCAGAATATACAACTGAGTGCTCTTCTACAGCAATGAGTGATAGAGGGCATATTACAGTAACCTTGAAATTATGCAGATAAACGGCACTAACTTGTGTAACACATTTACTAGAAAATGCTAGGCCTGCTCATTTAAATGTGTCATTATTAATATGATTTTCATTTTTAATATTGTTTGATTTGCCATGGCCAATTATCCTTATGATATTAATTTCCTATCTTACTCACAACAATTTGCATATATGGCTTCCTCTTAGATAACTGAAATGAACTCTCTCTTCAAAATCAATTACAATAATGACTATTTGCACCAGTAATTTCCTATGTGGTATTGAGAACTGTGTGCTTTTGGAAATAGAAGATCAAAAGTAAAATAATGCCACTTCTAATACTTCACTTCCAATTCTGAAGGCTTCATAATGTTCTGGCTCACCAGACCACCTTTACAAGGACCTTTGCAAGTGAGACTGAGATCAGATCTTGTATTTTAAAAGGGCTTATAAATATGCATGAATTTTTCTCTTTAAGCAGGATTTCCTTCTTGTCTCAAGATGTATGCTATAAGCTAAAAAGCTTGTTCTAAAAGATCCTCAGCTTTAGGGTAATTATCAAGGTGTAGTTCGTCCAAGTATGGAAAGCAAACTCAACCATGCATTTCGTTCTGGAGACATACTGTACTTAACATAGTCTTTTGCTCCCAGGCATGTCTGCAACTTGGTCCTGGCTCAGTTTTATTATTACCAAGGCTCAGAGGTGGGTTAACCAGCTAATTCATTCTTGGGATCTGCCTTATATACGTAACTCCCTATTGTGTCGTCAGAAGAGGGCTGACAAAGGGAGGACAAGCACAGAGATGTTAACAGTCTTGTGTTGGTGGATATGTTTTGACGGTACACTTCGAGCAGGTGTGAGGCTATGAAAAACAGCACGAAAACGTAGCCCCTGAGATCTGAAACTTACAGCTGTGTTCATGCTCCTTCCCATCTTGCTCTGCAGCAGTGAGGTTAGTGTGAGGCTGCATTTTTCCATGGGATATCAAAGAGATCCATGGTGAATCAGTGGCTAAGCCGGGGCAGGCATCTCCTTGGACTGGTGATCAGCCAGACTGCACTAGGTTATCAACATTGTAAGTGCAAAGAGAAGCACCTGGGTCTGTTTTCTCTTTCAGGCACCAACATACAACCGACACAACTTGCCTACCAACACAAATGAGAAACAAGCCCAAGAAATCCTCATCCGTTGGCAGAACAGCTTGAGGCAGAGTTGCAGAAAGGGGAACAGCTTACCTTGGGGTAGACCGGTACTTGTTGCATATACTATTATTCATGTGAACAATGATTCTGCTTTACTGTAAATAAGGAAAGAGACACATATTTTTATGCTTTTTGCAATAGCAAAAATGGATACTTTCCACAGTGTCCTGATGCAGCACCTAAGAAAGAGCTTCACTTAGCATGTGGACAGCAACATTTTTATGTCCTACCACTATACATTGGTCAGAAAGCAGCTACTATGTGTGTAAGTAGTAAAATAATGTGACTTGCATGGTTTGGGCATGTGCAAAACATAGTATAATCACAGCTGTGTGAATTTGTGAGTTCACAAATGGCCTGAGGCAAAGCCCTTGACACCTTGCACTGACAGTTTGGGATCTCAATCAGTTAGAGTAAGATTTGACTGACCAAATGTAGGCATGGACAGCATAGACGTTTACAGCTGAGATTTAAGGAAGAGATATAAGTCCTTGCTGGGTATATTAATTTTATTTAAAGTTGTCACTTGAAATAGGAAATGTGAATCTTAGAAGAACATTATTTCTCTCCCACAGGGTTGTTATGTCAAACACAGACATTTTCACTGGAGTTGGCATTGAGTTCAACCATCCAAGACAAACACTGATCTTATTCATACCTCTCTCAATTTGGCTGCAAAGGTGCAAGGGCACAAAAGAAAAAGCATATAACCATCCCTCTTTACCATCCCACCAACTACGTATAAATTGCAAAAGCAATCACAGGCACTGAACCCATTTCTGTCTTGTACACAGGCGAGCACCATGGAAGTACGCTACCTCTCTTTGCCTCAGGGCCCCAGCCAGCCCAGTAGACGAAAAGCCAGGCATGTTACTTTTACAGGTAATGAAAACGCTTTACTCTGTATCCTATTCCATCAGTGACCGAAACTTGGCCAGTCGTTCAGTGGATTTAGCAGTACTAAATGAATACTCTCGTGGAAGTCCCTGGTCTCTTTAAATGAGCTGCACCCTTCTCTCCTATCTTTTTTATCTATGTTGTTTATATGGTCATTACTGCAGTAGTTTCTATCTTGTTCCGGCACCGCCTAGTTTTTTCTTTTTCATTCTTACACAAATATTCCTGTGATCTCTACAGCGTAGCCTGGCCATGAGGGCATCCTTGTAAGCCCAAGAAAGCAAATATTCTGTTCCCTTCAGCTCCACAGAGAAAAATTGCACACAAAATCACTAGTTGCTGCTGAAAACATAACCCAGTCGAGGCAAGGCTGTCAGAGCTCCATGCTTCCAGGTCCTCCGCTGGGTGCCTCAGGGGTTCTCTGTGTTTTTTGGAGATGAGGCTCTAATCACGTAGACTAACATAAAATCCTGACAGAGTCTGTCCCCATGAAGCTGGTCTCTTCTCCCCTATTTCCAGGTTTCTCTCTATTAAAATTTCTGTAGTAATGTTGGTATTTATGGATTCATTTATCAGTCAGTCTCAGGCACACATTAAAATGCAAACCTATCCTCACACCATAAATAAAGAGGCAGAGGTTAGGGATGGAACACCACTGAATTACCCAAAGAAACATCATAGAACAGAAAATGTGGAATTTACAATACTTGAATTTTCATCATTGACTCCATCTATAGTCTCACTGAATCCTTCCTAAGTTTATTTATGTGAACCTGAAAGTCATTTGTGTTCCTTAGAAAAATTCTTTTTAGCAAAATTTGCTACAGTGAACGAAACCATATTTTTAATCTTGGTCTTTGTATCAAAAACTTGGACAAGAAAGTTTGTTTCCTGCAGGTGCAAAATTCTTCCTTCCCTTTCTGTTTTACTGTGAAAGTGATGAAAGTGCTGAAAGTAAAAGTGATCTGTGTAAGCAAACCATTGCCTTGGAGCTGGACACTCACACATGATGGCAACAGAGCAGGAACCCATGGGATCTATTCAGAGGGGAAAATAAAAGCTACTCAAGGAGATTTTTTTTTCATACAGCTGATTGCTTTCTGTTCTGTTTGTCAGGACATCATCATGGGGGATAAATGTCTTTCTAAGAGATTCAAATTGTTCTACACAGCAGCCTCAGACCTAAAAGCATTTCAGACACTTTCAAGGGACCAAGTACTGCTATAGCACACAGGCATATTATCTCAGTGGGAAGAGAGGTAAATACTTAAGCAATGAATACAAGTACTTTTAACTAATAGCTAGGCCTGAGTTTGAGCCCTGTCTTGTGTTCTACCCAAATAATTAGACTTCCTGGTTCAGGTTCTGGACCCATCTTAAGTCCATTGTGTAGCAGGTCCATTGACTAGCATTCACACCACTTTAAATGTCCGCAGCAGGAGGAAATCACCCTCAACACCTCTCATAAACTGTGTTAGGATGAAATGAATTGCACTTGGGAACTGAGAAGAGAAATACTCTGTATGTAGGATTAGAATGATAACCTCATATATGCACATAATATGCATTTACAGAGATTAATGTCATCTGTCTATGCCTGGAAGTCCCCCTAGAAGAAGAATCCTCCAGAAAGCTTGGTTTAACGCTTATATATCACATGTGCAGAAAGTTTAGTAACTAAGAAATCTGAAAAGACCACAAATAGATCCTTAAACCACCTATTAGCTCGTTTTACCACTCAGAAATGAATTATTTCTTTGACAGTATATATCATTCATGCTTTGTAGCAGTGATGCTCCCAAAGGGCTACATAGAAGCCTTTCAAATCTGAAACTGTCCTATTTCATTGCTTATGCTGTAGTATGACCACTTATGAGAAGCAGGTTCTGCTCTTAAAGAATCTGTACCCATTTGGTAGAGTAAGGGCTGGTGCATACATTCTTACTTGGTCTCAGCTGTGAAGTAAAACATTAGCTTAAAATAATTTAATAGTTATTAAGCTGCAATGACTTGATAAATTTTGACTGTGTGATTATTCCTGCATGTGTGCTTTAACTGTAGCAGCATATAGTCTAATTTTATTATTCATAGACTTCTCTGTTTATTTCCCCAAACCTCCCAGCTTGTTACAACTTGTTTCTTAAATTAGCTAATGTGCTAGTGCATAGTCAGACTAAAAGTGGCTTTAAGTTAAAAAAATGTATTCTACAAACTCAACAGAATGAGAAAGCCATTTATTGACCTATTGTAGGCAAATTTTTATTGTGTACTTGTGGCAAAGAAAGCTGGTAGGGGCAGGTCCGACACACCCAATGTAATCAAAGCGCCCTAAAGTAAAACTCCTGGTTTCAGGTGAAACTGTTTTCTTCCCAGTTGTTAATCACAGGTGACTGGTAAACTTGATTTTCAATGACAGTACAGTCTTCCCCTTCATCACCTTTTTGCCTCCTGCTGTGGGTTTCACAATGCTTTTCAACTATGGTACTAGTTATTCTAGTGGAATTTGTGGAAAATTGAAATCTATGTAAAGGAACACTTGCCCTGTGAAGGCACTGAGCGGCTCTGTGAGGCACTAAAAGATATCTGAATGTGTTTATTCACTGGGGTTTCAGAAGAGGAGACTCAGGGGGGACTTTATAACTCTTTACAGCTACCTGAAGGGAGGTTGTAGTCAGCTAGAGGTCAGAAAACTAGTGACAGGATGAGAGGGCATGGCCTGAAATTTCATCAGGGAAGGTTTAGGTTAGATATTAGGAAGCATTTCCTCACCGAGAGGGTGATCAGGCATTGGAATGCGCTGCCCTGGGAAGTGGTGGAGTCACGGTCCCTGGAGGTGTTTAAGGAGAGGCTGGATGTGGCACTTAGTGCCGTGGTCTGGCCGATGTGGTGGTGTTGGGTCATAGGCTGGACTTGATGATCTCAGAGGTCTTTTCCAGCCTCAATAATTCTGGAATTCAGTGAATAGAAAGTTATCAGGAGTAGCCAACATGGATTTAACAAGAGGAAGTCTTGCTTGACTAGTCTGATATCCTTCTACAAAGGTGTGACCAAATGGGTTAGTGAAGAGAGAGCAGTGCATGTAATATCCCTGGGCTTCAGTAGGGCTTTTGATACTGTCTCTCATAACATCCTTGTAGGAAAACTCAAGAAATGTGGGAGAGATGGTTGGAGTGTGAGGTTTTTTGTTAACTAGCTCAGCAACAGAGTTCAGAGGGTTGTGATCAGTGGTGCAGAATCAAGCTGGAGGCCTATGGCCAGTGGTGTTCCGCAGGGATCAGTACTGGGTCCAGTTTTGTTCAATATCTTCATCAACGACCTGGATGAGGGGATAGAGTGCACCCTCAGCAAGTTTGCTGATGATACACCATAAGGCTGTGCTGCTATCCAACAAGATCTAGAAAGGCTAGAGAGCTGAGCGAAGGTGAACCTCATAAAGTTCAATAAGGACAAGTCTGGACTCCTGCATCTGGAGAGGAATAACACCAGGCACAAGTACAGATTAGGGGTTGTTCTGCTGGAAAGCAGCCCCAAGGAAAGACTTTGAAGTCCTAGTGGAGAGTAAGTTGTCCTCGGGACAGCAACGTGCCCTTGTGGCCAAGAGGGCCAATGGGATCCTGGGGTGCATTAAGAAAAGTGTGTCCAGCAGGTCTAGGGAGGTTCTCCTCCCCCTCTACTCTGCCCTGGTGAGACCACACCTGGAATACTGTGTCCAGTTTTGGGCTCCCCAATTCAAGAGTGACAAGAGTCTACTGGAGAGAGTCCAATACAAAGCTATGAGGATGATTAAAGAACTTGAACATCTCTCCTATGAAGAAAGACTGAGAGAACTGGTTCTATTTAGTCTTGAGAAGAGGAGGCTGACTTGAGATCTTATTAATGTGTATAAATATCTGAGGGGTGTGTGTCAAGATGAAAGGGACAGTCTCATTTTGGTGGTGCTCAGTAATAGGACAAGGAATGGGGACAGTCTCATTTTGGCGGTGCTCAGTAATAGGACAAGGAATAATGGATATAAGCTAGAATATAGGAAGTTCCATCTCAACATGAGGAGAAACTTCTGTACTGTGAGGTTGACTGGAACAGGCTGCCCAGAGAGGTTGTGGAGTCTCCTCCTCTGGAGACTTTCAAAACCCACCTGGATGTGTTCCTGTGTGGCTGCCCTAGGGCATCCTGCTTTGGCGGGGGGGGGGGGCAACTAGAGGTCCCTTCCAACCCCTAGCATTCTATGATTCTATGATTCTGTGATTCTGTGATTATATGATTCTATGATTTAAAATGCTTCCTTTTCAGGGTTTAAAACCGTAATATTGTACTGAATTGAATACCCTTTAACCGTCCTTGCCAATACCACGGTGCTTCTCTTTTATACAAAATACAAAATTTTCATCTATTCTCTTTCAGATCACCATGGAATTGGTTCTGATGCTGCGTGCCCAGTAAAATTCAGACCCCAGCCACGACTACGTCCACTCGAGGCAAAACATCGCCAGGAAGAGCTGATTCCAATGGCACGTTTGGATAGACGAACGGGCCCATCCAATCCGTCAGGTCGAAGAGGAAATTCAATCAGCCAGCATCACTTCACCAGAGCACACAGGCTAGCTCTAATGCCAAAGTCTCGATTCGCTCTGGCAGAAGTAGAGGAGTATGAGTCAGATGAAGAGACAGAAATGATGGCACCAGCCAGGCCATTAGCCATATGAGGAACAGAGAAGAGTGATGTTTGTATCTCTAGGGCCCTTTGTGCACTGCTCCACAAAAAAAATAACAAAGCTCTTACAAGAGCCAAACCACAATTTTCCTTCTGGGACCAGTGCACTTGCTCTTGTAACACTTTCAAGTGCTGAATCAATGTACTTAGTGGCTCAGAGAAGACTCAAATTCTTATATATTTATATCAAACTTTCTTTCCAACAAAACACTGTAGGAAAGAGGAAAATGTGATCTTTGTAGAGGTTTGAACATGCATTTAAATTGCAGTAGTTGGGCACATGCAGTGCTATGGGTGGAAACTGATAATGTCTTCACCTGTTCTGTACTATGGCTTGCATCCAGAAGAAGGAAATGCCAAAGGACATGCTTGGCACATCAATGCCCAAACTCTTAACTTCAACTTGCCTAGAGCTTTTGACCTCAGAGTATTTGAGCTATTCCAGGAAAGAGTTGAAAAACAGAAAAGTATTCTTATGGCAGTCAAATGTCACTGAAGATGCCTAAAAAAGTACTTAAGTCGAAAGGATATTTTGTGGACATTTTCAGCACTTGGGAATCTCTTGGCATCTCAGGTTTTGACTCTGCAAAAGTCTCTAAGTTCAGTTGCTATGATGGCCCATAACTCCTGCTGCTTCAACTAGTTTTAACATGTAGACACCTATCACCCACATGCAGTTGTTTGATTTGGGCATCCTGGTACATACTCCTCAGGTAGGGGTGCAGTCAAGATGCCTTTTATTTGCAAATGTGGCACAATAAGAATGTACACAATATTCTTGTGGTTCAGCAAGTGGAAGGCTTCACTGTAGGATACCTAACCTCTGTTTCCCACTCTTACCTTTCCAGAAGATGCACAAATCTGTGGACAACTTCACACTGAAGCTGGATCCACACTGCAGATAGGAAGCAAGAATCTTGGATAAAAGGGAGTCTAACTCTGGAGCCTACTGGCTAGCAGGAAAGACAGGCCCAGCTTTTTGTAGGGTGCTTGCCTATATGTTGTACAGAGAATCATTTGCTTAAAAAAAAAAAAAAAAAGCTGAAATAACCAGTGAGGCATGCACTGAGCCCATGATTTCACAACCTGGCTACTGATCTCCCTTCCAGCTGGCTCTGTGCACCCATGCTCTAGTCTTAACTGTGGGTGTTCTCAGCAGTAGGAGAGGCAAAAAGTCTTGAGTCGTTTGAGCTAAAGTCTAAAATCCCAGACACCTGTTTCCTTTGATGGAGCTATTTTCTGCAAAATGTAACCAGCATTGCCACTGCCATCTGTGTCTTGAAATTGTAGGTGAGCTGATTTTATCCATGGGTTGTTTTGAGTCCACAAGTCCATAAATCCACCTCAGAGCTGCGCTAGACTCAAATTCGTAGCTGAAAAATGCACCCTCAAGTTCAGTCATTTTCTTAAAGTTTCTCTCTCTCTCTCCTCTACTGAGAGCTTGCTTAGCTGCCCAAATCAAGGTCTGTAAATGCTACTCTAAGAATCAGAGAGGTAAGATTTAGAGACAGCAGTGCCACCCTTATGTTTCTCTTTTTTATATTACTGTTACACACTCATATGTTCTGGTCAAGAAAAATCTTTTAAGTTATGACTTCACATTTCTTACAAAGGAATTCTGATTCAAGACAGATAGCATCTAAACTAACAAATTTGAAAAGTGCCACTAGAGTAAAAAAATAAAAGACCTTTTTCCCCTTTTTTCATGTTTGCAGTTTTTATGTTTAGCAGATCATAATGAATCATCTGTGCTAAAATTGTACAAAGCTTTATGAAACTTGTTATGTTTGCATTTCCTGCTTGTGCCAGAGAAATTGTATAACTTCATTTTATGAAAGCAGTGATATGTTATTAAAAGAGAGTAAGATTTGGCTTTTGTACCTACACTGAATAAGCAATGAAATACAGTTGTACCTGAAAATCAGCAAATAAATCCAGCTCCACCAAAAGAGTAAGTGCTCCATGTAATTTTTAAACAAAAGTTTTGTGCCAGTTCTCAGTACTATAGCAAGTTATACTGACATAACATAAATCTCAATGAAAAAATTATTTTAAGAGAAAGAGTTATCATACAAAAATCAGGTCTTAAATTGCACTGAGCCACCCAGTTGCCACAAGAAATGTAACTGAGGGCAAAATCAGTGTTCATGTAACACGGTCCTTAGGCCACAGGACTGACAGAGGTACATTGAGTAGGGTAAGAGATGTGTGGAACCTGCTTCTGCATCAATGAGTCTGGAAGAGGGTAAGATCTCCAAAACTGGCTGGTGGGTGAAGTGAGCTAGTGGTAATCCTTGGGGACTGCTAACCAATGAGAAAAATATGACAGTAACAAGAACAGTCATAACAAGAAAATATTTTAATAATAAAAGCCACAATGGCCAAATAGAATGTTGCAGAAAAAGCGGGGGGAGTTATCAAGGTCAATAGTACGTTGTGAGCAACCAGAAATTGCACGTTGTGGTTATCTGTTAGATCTGGTTTTGCTGAAGCTGTTCCTCTTCAGCTAATAACCCAGGAAGTAGGGACCATGTAGTAAAAGGAGAATCTCTTCCTCAGATTGCTTACCGTAAAGGATGCAGCTGCGAGGGGAGCACTGGCAATTGGGACACCATAGCAGCTGACACAAGGAGTGCTCAAGCTGTCACCCCCAGAAGCACCAGTTAGGACAGTGCACTGGAAGAAGGCATGCTATGAAGGCTCTAAAAGCAGCTTGTGTGCCACATTAGAAGAGGACATTGGCAAAGGAGTGCTGAAGCAGGGAGGATAATTCCCTGGATCGAAACCCAGGTGAGCGGAGCGGGCGTGTATCTATCAAAGCCAGAGAGGAGAAGCTATAACAGTTGGAGATGAGCAAATGCCCTGGCAGGAGCTCTAAATGGACAGATTTACTGCTCTATGTGTAGGCTAAGAAGGTAGGTCAACCTAAAAGACAAAATTTAGTTCAGTTGTCTGTAGAGCAATTAAGGAAGGTTATAAGAGATTTGGAACAGTAGGCCAGGGTTTCAGGCTGGAGAGACTGGTAGTGAAGAATTAACCACAATTAGGTTAATTATGGTTAACTGGGACACCTCTCACTAGACCAAGTAAGTTGCTCAAAGCCCCATCCAGCCTGGTCTTGAACACTTCCATGGAAGGGGCATCCACAGCTTCCCAGGGCAACATATTCCAGTGTCTCACCACCCTCATAGGAAAGAATTTCTTCCTAATATCTAATAAAAATCTACTCTACTTCAGTTTGAAACCGTTATGTTTTGTCTTATCACTGCACTCCTTGATGAAGAGTCCCTCCCCATCTTTCTTGTAGGTCCCCCTTAGGTACTGGAAGGCCACTATAAGGTCTTCCTAGAGCTGAATATCTCCAACTATCTCAGCCTGTGCTCACAATGGAGGTGCTCCAGCCCCCTGATCATCTTCATGGCCCTTTGTAGTCAAAGACAGAAAGTGATATCTGCAGGGGAAAACATTAGATTGCTATGGATGAAAAACTTGACTTTTACATAACAGAAGATTAAAATAATTGTGAAATTTTTCTTATATTCTTGCTGCTATATTGGTTTTGAGAAATGACACTTTAAAGGTTTTTCTTGCAGCCATTAGATTCTGAAAACTCACATCTTATTGTCATATATGAATAGAAACTACTATTTAAAAGCCTGTGAGAAACTGAAAATATAAAAAAATGTTTCCAAGATTCCTTTCTTCATAGGTACTTTTTCTAATTTTCAATCTATGTATATGGATAACATACAAATGTTAAGAGTGGAAAAACAGATTAGCTTATCTTTATATTTTGTTTGCTTTTTAGGTAGGACAATTACATTTATTGTTTTGCCTAACCCACTGTACTTAAGAACCTTAAAATTAGAGGTGTAAGGTAACATGAGTAATATTCTAAAGCAGTTAAGAGGAATATAAATCTATTGAGCTAAGTTGCCTAATTTATTTCTTTTTGAGAATCTGTCTCAATGTTTATCACAAACGAAACTGTTGTCTTTCCTGCTTTGATTTCACAGGTGTGAAATTTCAAAAGTTACTATCAGTTCTCGTTTATTTCAAATACACCCTTACTCATGGAAAATTTAGTTTTCTCCTACTTTGCAATCATAAGAAATGAGACAGACTGGAGAAAAGTATGCCAAGCTCTGCTTTTCAGAGCTTTCTTTCCTTGGCAGGCCAGATGCAGCTGCACCAACAGTGAACAGCTGGTCACGAGTAGACAACCAAACTTAACATAATCCCTGACTATTTTCTACTGTCCTTGGGGGAGCAAGTGAGGAAAAAAGAAGTTTCTGTCAAGAACAGCTGCAGTGGGTTGGGGGAACAGGTATTAGTCGTCTGCAACATCACTCGTACACATGCCAACACAGGTTGGATCATTAGACACCTGTTCAGTGCTTTCCCATCAGTAACTTATTCCACAAAATATAAAATTATTATAGAAGAAGTTTGAAGTTAAACTGCTTTTTTTTTCTACTGGCATGTATGTCAGGTACTAATTTAGGTTCATTAGTTGGTACTGGGCCTAACACCGTTTGCTCCTCACTCTATTATCAACAGTGATAAGGGGTGAAAATAGTGAGTCATGTACAAATGTCAAAATAAAAGTGCTCTTATTTTTTTAAGATTTCTTGTAATAAAGCCTATATATAGCCCTCTAGCTAGCTTTGTTCAGGCCTTTATTTAAGTGTAAGTTTCCCATTACAGAAACTTGTAATTTCAATATTACATGATGATGAATATTGATGATACTTGCAACAGTGCACTGTCTTCCAGGTGCTGTGTGAACACAAGGCACAGACGGTTCAGAGGTGGGGCATCCTGAGAATTATGTCAATATGAAACCCCTGCAATAAAGGTGGAGAAACTTGCATAAAACAAAGGAGCCCTATGTACACGTAACATAGGAACACTGCCAGGAACTGAGTGCGAGACCCTGGTCCCTTGACCTTAAGTCTACCTTTACTTCCCTTAGACTTTCAGGTGACTGAA